CTACACATTAACTTACCGTTGTCTGATCTACACATTAACTTACCGTTGTCTGATCTACACATTAACTTACCGTTGTCTGATCTACACATTAACTTACCGTTGTCTGATCCGTGTGAGGGATTCCGCCTTGTTTCGTACTTTCCAGCATACCAAGAAGAGTTGCAAGGAATGCAGCTGCAGTACCTACGCCATGAATGACAAGCGCTAATGCCGCAATCGGAACACTCTCAAGGAATGTTAAACCCGGGAAAGGGCCTGTAAAAGAAAAGGTTTGTAATGCAGTAGTGCACAAGAGAATCAGTTAAACCACGTAGATCAGACTTATTTGAACCAGTTCTCTTTGACTTGAACCAGCGCTAAAGAGAGCTGGTTGAACCAGTGGTACCTGGGACCGAATTTAATGAATTGGCGAGGACGCAGAAAAACCTACGGCCGGTTTAAATCTTGAATCAACGATTCAAATCATCTTGATTCAAATTTGAACCGGCAGTATAGGTAATAGGTAGTTCAGCACCTAGCTTAAATTCAATACATTTTGTCCCCGGTTCAACTTCATCTCGCAATTCATAAAGTATGGTCCCAGCATTAAGATAGTATATCAGAAGAAAATGTCTTACATAAAAATTTCTTATGAAAGTTATTCTATTAAACCTTTGAACCTTTGCCACAAACTATGATTTTTTAATCCTTATATCTTTGCAACCCAATGTCGTAGACCTTAGATATTTCAAACTATGAAGTCTTTTGATTTTGATATCTTAGTTCGAAATATCTAAGGTTTACGACACACTGAGAAATAGACAACTTTGAAAGATTGTCACCAAATTTTTAGACACCCTCGATTTTGTTTTACATCACAAACTCACTTTAATTTTTTTGTGACCCTAGACATATGTATTTTAAAAGAGTAACGCACTTGTTTCTAGCTTAAATCTAAGAGAAGTCTTTTTCAAAATGCTGCTCGATATTTGGGTGAGATCGTGCAGATCTTGATTTGCAGTGGACATATATAGGGATTAGAAATTTTGAGTTAGTGGCAAAGACTCAGCTCCTCTAGCATTTTTTAAATTTTGTTAATAAAAATGAAAGTTTAAACCTCACCAAGTAAAAACATTGATAAAGAGATGGTAAGGTTTCCCATGAGAACTGCGACTATAGGAGTGAGACCGCAGTCCATGATAACTCCAAATATGGGAGCCATCACAGTGTAGGCAATAGAGAACCCCATGAGCAGTAGACCAACTTCAGCAGCATCAAGCTCATACTTTAAAGGGAGTGTCTGGCTAGACATGGTAGTTGAGCTGAGAGTGCAATATTGTAGAGAAATCTTAAACAACTAATTATTTTAATGTAGAATTTTTGTTACATTTTTGTAGTCTTCTTTTCATACATTTTTTAAAGTCGATTCTTAAAATTATCCCTCTAAAATTGACTATCCATGAGGATATTAAAACTTCCGCTTTTGCTAAACAAATATGCACTGTTAAAACGTCTGATAGGTCTCATGTCTCTACAATACTGCATTCTCAGCTCAACTACCATGTCTAGCCAGACACTCCCTTTAATCAACATATTTATTTAAACATTTATGCAAGTAAAAAAATCAGGAACAATAGATTTTTTAAAGTGACTGTAAGGGTAATTTCAAGTGACCCTCCATGCAAAGATGGCAATGCCCGAGTCACAACGGTATCCTCTAAACCTTAATCTGATAACAAATGTGGAAGTTTTTCTGACTCGGAAAGTGTTTAATTCTCATAATTCTCCATTGCTTTTTACAAGCAAAAAATACGCAAGTTACTTTCGAATATGAAAATGAAAATAAACAGTTTAAAGAAACAAAACCATGAACATCTAATTCATACTTGATCAGACAAAGCTTTTAATGAGGGTACTTGAAATCCCGCTTACAGTATCTTTATCATTACATAACATAACATTTCTGAAAGCAAAATATAAACCAAACTCGGCTGGATCAGCATTGACCGATAAGCAATTGTAAAGTTAAAATTTTTTTGATAAATTAACGGTGAGACTAAAACTTTAAGTACTGTAAGTGAATAATTTGTAAGAAATGGAAAGCGAGCATTGAAAGATCATTTTTTTGTGTGGAAAATGGTCTTAGAATATTATTGGGTTCTTCCTGTTCTATCAAGCCCAACTTGTCTTAGTTCATTAACTTTTCAAATATCGAACCAAACAACATTATATTTGTTAAAGGGACTGTATAGGCGTAATTTCAAGTTAATGTTCCTGCAACAATGACAACGCTGATTCAGATTCATAACAGCAGCCTTAAAACCTTTATCTGATCAATATTGTGGAAATCTCGTTGATTTTAAGGGGATCGAGTAAATCGGACATTGCCACCATTGCATGGAGGCCGGAGGGTCACTTAATCTTACGCTAACAGTCCCTTTAAGAGTGTACCTTCTCTACAAAGTATGGTTCAAGTGCAGCTGAATACCAGTTTGTGGCTGAACCAGCAATTAATAATCCGCAAATATTTGATTTCATCCCGGGAGCAGACAACAAGGAGCGCCAGCTTGTTGATCTGAAACATTTTTTGGTAAAATAAAATAAAAATAAAATGACTTAGTCCATACCCTGGACATTAAAGTCTCTTTTTCATAAAATAATCTAACAAATAATTTATTAATTTTTTCCTTTTTCTAAATTGAAATAATATTTCACCTTTCTTCCTCCTCTCTTGTATGAGGTTTCAGTTTGAAAAAGAAAACTGTCAAAATAACAATAAGAACCAGAAGAACACCCAGAAACCAAAATGGAGCAGCAAATCCACCAAGATTGTAAAGAAATCCTCCAAGCGCGGGACCAGCCACCATTCCAATTCCAAAACTGCATTCGATGACAGACTAAAATAATAATCAAAAATTTAATCTCATTCTCTAAAGTTATTATTTAGTTGAAATATTAAAATACTTACAATGGCTTTTCCTTGATTCCTATCAGAAACTTGCTGAGATCCTAAAAATAAAATATCCTTGTTGAAATATAAAATGGACTCAAAATTAAAAAATGGCAGCATGACTGACCTAATGGATACGCAGTCGGAGAAATGGCGGATTCTCCAACAGCTGTTAGGATTCTAAAGAACAAGGACAACCAGAAGAAAGCATCAGGATCTTGAATGTAGCGCAGCAAACTAAAATAAAATATGAAACCAAAAATAAAAAATAATAAAACTGAGAAAAGCAAGAATAAACTTAAGTTAAAATTAACTGTGAGAAAGCTTTAGATACAGAATATTTTTTTACAATGATGAAATTCTTTAAAAGTTTCTTTTAACAAAATTTGTCCGAACATTTTGTTTACCCAATGTGAAAGAAGTAAAATTGGAATAAAAAGTTCACAAAAAACTTGTTTATAAGAAAATAGAAATTACAATTTAAGAAAAATAAAAATGAAGTATTGTACTTTAATTTACTGTACTTTACTAATCTGTACTTCGTTCTACCATATACACTGTATAGTACCATTGATCTAAATTGTACAGTACTACAATGAACTAAATTGTACAGTACTATAAAAAACTAAAATGTACAGTGCTAAATGGACTGAATTGTTCAGTACTATATTGAACTGAATTGTACAGTACTATATTGAACTGAATTGTACAGTACTATATTGAACTGAATTGTTCAGTACTATATTGAACTGAATTGTACAGTACTATATTGAACTGAATTGTTCAGTACTATATTGAACTGAATTGTACAGTACTTTATTGAACTGAATTATACAGTTCTATATTGAACTGAATTGTGCAATACTAAAATGAATTACAGTGCTATATTGAACTGAATTGTGCAATACTAAAATTGAATTGTACAGTACTATATTGAACTGAATTGTGCAATACTAAAATGAATTGTACTGTACAGTGCTATATTGAACTGAATTGTGCAGTACTAAAATGAATTGTATTGTACAGTGCTATATTGAACTGAATTATACAGTACTAAAATGAATTTAATTGTACAGTACTATATTGAACTGAATTGTAAAGTACTATATTGAACTGAATTATACAGTACTTTATTGAACTGAATTGTGCAATACTATAATGAATTGTATTGTACAGTGCTATATTAAACTGAATTATACAGTACTATATTGAACTGAATTGTAAAGTACTAAAATGAATTGAATTGTACAGTACTATATTGAACTGAATTGTAAAGTACTATATTGAACTGAATTATACAGTACTATATTGAACTGAATTGTGCAATACTAAAATGAATTGTATTGTACAGTACTATATTGAACTGAATTGTAAAGTACTATATTGAACTGAATTGTACAGTACTATATTGAACTGAATTATACAGTACTTTATTGAACTGAATTGTAAAGTACTATAATGAATTGTATTGTACAGTGCTATATTGAACTGAATTATACAGTACTATATTGAACTGAATTGTAAAGCACTAAAATGAATTGAATTGTATAGTACTAAGATGAACTGAATTGTACAGTACTAAGATGAACTGAATTGTACAGTACTAAGATGAACTGAATTGTACAGTACTAAAATTAACTGAATTGTTCAGTACTAAAATGAACTAAATTGTACAGTACTAAGATGAACTGAATTGTACAGTACTAAGATGAACTGAATTGTACAGTACTAAAATGAACTGAATTGTACATTACTAAAATGAACTGAATTGTACAGTACTAAGATGAACTGAATTGTACAGTACTACGATGAACTGAATTGTACAGTACTAAAATGAACTGAATTGTACAGTACTACGATGAACTGAATTGTACAGTACTACGATGAACTGAATTGTACAGTACTAAAATGAACTGAATTGTACAGTACTAAAATGAACTGCATTATAAAAGCAATGTGCAAAATTTGTTTTGTTATTTTGATATCCATTAATTAAAATAAGTGTTTTGACTTGATCAGGGTGGATTTTTTCAGAAAACATTTTCAAAACTGACACACCCGGAAGGATTTACTCTGATAATATTTGTTGAGAATAAAAACCTACCCGAAGGCGATGTTACCCACGGCACAAACCAGAACACCGAGAACAAAAACCAGTTTTGCTCCATGCCAGCCTATCTAAGCAAAATCGTTTTTTTTTGCATCTATTTGCAGTAGGGGTTAAAGCGCAATGGGGAAATAGTTTCACAAAACATTAGCATTTGTTCGCATTCCGTTCGTAGAAAATATTTTCGCGTTAATCTGTTCAGTAAAATTTTAAGCCTTTTTCACGAAACAGATTAATCCAAAATTTCACGCAAAAAGCGATAAATTTTACGAAACAGATCAACGCAAAAGAAGCGAAATACGAAAGAAAATTTTCAGACACATACACACAAAAATTATGTAGCTCTAGAAATTTAGTTTAGTGCCAAATCTGGAATTGAACAATATACCATGTATTACGAATGTTATAAACTTTTGGAACCGACCAACAAGAAAATATGTTCTTTCTAACAATTCATTTGAAATCAAGAATTGATGTAGGAGTTTTCTGTTTGCAAAAAAAACATTTTTACTACAATTAACACCAGAACTTCAGAGACATCGAAATAATTTATAAAATGTCGTCTTGACAATTTTTCAAGGTTTTATACATTGATATACAAGAATATAGATCGTTAATGCAGACTATAAAGCTAAAAATTGTACAAAACCTTGTAAATCATGAATTCGACATTTAAAAAGTGCTTAGAACAATATGTTTATGTGAATATAACATATTTCTTGAATTATTTAGTTAGGCTAAGTTTGATCATATTTGTGTGGAGTTCCTTAATGTTATGCAAAAGTATTTGATTTAGGGTTTAAACGCTAAATTGGATTTTGTGGTCAAAACACTAAATTGGATCAAAGTTTGGGGAGAAAATAGCTTTGTTTTATAGAATTTTTTTATCCACAATTCTTGGAATTGCTGGCGCTTTTTTATGAATAACTTTTAGTAATAAGTAGACAAATAAATTTTTTTTCATAAATGTTTCTAAAAACATATTTGTTTGTTAATTTTCTTTCTAGTTATTGAGATATTTAAAGTAAACAAAACTCTATTATACCTAATTATTTTAAAACTAATGCCGTTTTTACAAGCGCTACAGATTTGAAATTCATATAGATCGAAAGATAAATACATTTTCTTGAATTTGAGCATCACTGAAATTGCTTTTTCTCATTGTAAACTGCATTATTTTGCTGGTAAATTAACTTCATGTAAATAATACGTTATCGCGTCTTCAAAACTAATTTCATGTAAGTTTATGCGCTTACGTAAATTTCTTTTTTTACAAGTTAAAGGATTTGAAGCTGTAGAAAATTTCAAATATGGAATTAAAAATCGTTAGGTTCCGAACGTTGAATGATGTTCTCAATATTGCTTCCGAACCTTGAGGGTTGGAGACAGTATGGGGATTCAGGGCAATGCCGCAAATCAAAACGAAACACAAATACAATTTCAAACAAAATTAACAAAGTTTAAGTTTTTTCCAGCCCGAACTTTGATTAAAAATATTATGCAAATGTTAAGCACTGCTAAAATATTAGTTCTTTTAGATTTTTTAAATTGTACAAAAAATCTTATCATTTTATGTTTTTCCTTGACTAAATGTTGATTAAATCACAGTGAGAGCTAAATCTAATTTGTACATCCAAGAAAAAGAAATACATAAGCAAAAATTGGCTTGGTTTGTAGGTTATTTAGCTTTATGCGCAAATAGAAATATGTTCAAAAAGCACATTTCAGCTTTTCCCACGGTCAGCTTTAGTGCTAGAAATTTTATAATGTTAGTAAATTATCTTAAAGCCATGATAAACACATTCACCAATTTATTAGCATATATCTTTATGGGTTTTTGAATGAGAGGCAAAGATGAAAATTATTTTTTCTATTTTTAACCTTTTTTTAACAACTATCGGTCGATTTTGTAGAAATTAGTAAAAACCCAATAGGAGCATTTACTAAACGAATTACCAAATCTGTTTATTATGATTATTAGATAAATGGGCTCTTGCATATATTTCTTTATGCGCATAAAGCTTAACATGAATACAAACCAAGCCAAATTTTGCTCTTGCTCTTTGCTATATTTCTTGAATGTACACATTAGATTCAGTTCTTAATGTGAATTAACTAATATTTGGCCAAGGAAAAACATAAAATGATCAGATTTTTTGAACAATTTGAAAAATATAAAAGACCTATTATTTGAGTAGTGTAAGGATACTTTAGATCAACTACCATACTTAAATAATCAAATTAATCCCGTTTTAAGTAGAAATTGACGATTATAAATGGAAACTCCTTCCGGCCCGGAGAACTGTTTGGGAGAGGTTGGGAAGCCCTCTGGGGACGTGCACTGCCGGAAATAGGTAAAATGAGGTTCGGAAGGTGTGCGTGGGAGGTTGCCTTCCCTCCCTATATCCACTTTAAGTGTTTTGACCCCAAAATCCAATTTAGCGTTTTAACCCCAAAATCCAATACTTTTGCATATACTTTAAGGAATTCTTACTTTAAAAACAATTTTAAACAAAATCAACAAAGTTTAAGTTTTCCCAGCCCGAATTCTGATTATGCAAATGTTAAGGATACTATAGATCGACTATCGTGCTTAAATAATCAAATTAATCCCGTTTTAAGTAGAAATTGACGATTATAGATGGAAGATTTTCCCTAAAGACTGTTTGGGGGAGGTTCGGAAACCCTCTGGGGACGTGCATTGTCGCAAATAGGTAAAATGAGGTTCGGAAGCTGTCCGGGGGAGGTTGCCTTCCCTCCCTCATTGGATAAATCAAGCAAGGAACATTGTTTTGACATTTGCTATAGGTTTGATTGATGGCGACAAAAAAACGATAAAACGATAAACTAAATGAAGGCAAGCATTGAAAATATATGAAAAATGCATGAAATGTACGCGTAAAATAAACTCACCAACTTTCCACATAAAGGAGTTGCAATAACTGTTGTTAAAAAAGCTGAACCTGAAAATTAAAACAAGTAAGAATTTGTTCATTCAAGTTCGTGGTTGAGTTACGCTCATGTTCACTGTTCGAGTTCAGTTCTAGTTCATTTCAGGTTCAGTTCGAGTTCCATTCAGATTCAGTTGAGTTCCATTCAAGTTAAGTTGAGTTCCATCTAGATTCGGTTGGGTTCCATTTAGGTTGGGTTGGGTTGAGCTCCATTCAAGTTCAGTTGAGTTTAGTTGAGTTCATTTCAGGTTTAGTTGAGTTCATTTCAGATTCAGTTGAGTTAATTTCCGGTTCAGTTGAGTTAATTTCAGGTTCAGTTGAGTATCATTCAGTTTCAGTTCAAGTTCAATTCAGATTCAGTTAAATTAGGTTAAAACAGGTTAAATCAAAGGCAATGTTCAGGTTAAGTCCCAGGTTTTGGTTTGGTTTAGTTTATTTATTTAAAAAGGAGGGCAGTTTTAGGCTTATTTCAAATTTAGAAAAAAGGTATGGATAACTTTTTGATTGTTATGTAAAATGTTTTCACTTTTATTAATTTATTTGGAGGATGAACCTAGAAGTATAAACACAACACTTCACATATCTATAGATACATATTTTCAAAAATATGTAAATAATACTTTTATATTGTTTTAAAATGTGAAAAATAAGAATTAAATTTTAAAAAAATACCTAAAACTATTCCGGATTGAGTGACACTAACTCCTCTTGATAATGCCTTAAAAAATCATTAAAAAAAATCTTTAACATTGGAAGGAGAAAAAATTGTCTTCTATTTAAGACTTAAAGTATCCATATTTCGCTAGTTTGTTTGTATCCAATAAACGTCAAAACGGCTGAACCGATTCTGCACAATTTTTGTACGTGGAAAGTCTGGTTTCTGGCCGGTGAGAAAACCACTTTTAAATAATCCCCAAATTAAAGAACACAAAGGAAAACACCTTGACGGGAATATAGGAGTAGGAATTTACCTCTGATGGGAATATAGGAGTAGGAATTTACCTCTGATGGGAATATAGAAGTAGAAATTTACTTCTGATGGGAATATAGAAGGAGTAGGAATTTAACTTTGATGGGAATATAGGAGTAGGAATTTACCTCTGATGGGAATATAGGAGTAGGAATTTACTTCTGATGGGAATATAGAAGTAGAAATTTACCTCTGATGGGAATATAGGAGTAGGAATTTACCTCTGATGGGAATATAGAAGTAGGAATTTACTTCTGATGGGAATATAGGAGTAGAAATTTACCTCTGATGGGAATAGAGGAGTAGGAATTTACCCCTGATGGGAATATAGGAGTAGAAATATACCTCTGATGGGAATATAGGAGTAGAAATTTACCTCTGATGGGAATATAGGAGTAGGAATTTACCTCTGATGGGAATATAGTAGTAGGAATTTACTTCTGATTGGAATATAGGAGTAGAAATTTACCTCTGATAGGAATATAGGAGTAGGAATTTAACTTTGATGGGAATATAGGAGTAGAAATTTACCTCTGATGGGAATATAGGAGTAGGAATTTACCTCTAACGAAATTTAGGAGTAGAAATTTACCTCTGATGGTAATATAGGATTAGGAATTTAACTTTGATGGGAATATAGGAATAAAATTTACCTCTGATGGGAATATTGAAGTAGGAATTAACCTCTGATGGGAATATAGGAGTATAAATGTACCTCTGATGGGAATATAGGAATAGGAATTTAACTCTGATGGTAATATAGGAGTAGGAATTTAACTTTGATGGGAATATAGGAATAAAATTTACATCTGATGGGAATATAGAAGTAGGAATTTACCTCTGATGGGAATATAGGAGTAGAAATTTACCTCTGATGGGAATAAAGGAGTAGGAATTTACCTCTGATGGGAATATAGGAGTAGGAATTTACCTCTGATGGGAATATAGGAGTAGGAATTTACCTCTGATGGGAATATAGGAGTAGAAATTTACCTCTGATGGGAACATAGGAGTAGGAATTTACCTCTGACGGGAATATAGGAGTAGGAATTTACCTCTGATGGGAATATAGGAGTAGGAATTTACCTCTGATCGGAATATAGGAGCAGGAATTCACCTCTGATGGGAATATAGGAATAGGAATTTAACTCTGATGGGAATATAGGAGTAGGAATTTAACTTTGATGGGAATATAGGAATAAAATTTACCTCTGATGGGAATATAGGAGTAGGAATTTACCTCTGATGGGAATATAGGAGTAGGAATTTACCTCTGATGGGAATATAGGAGTAGGAATTTACCTCTGATGAGAATATAGGAGTAGGAATTTACCTATCATGGGAATACAGGAGTAGGAATTTACCTCTGATGGGAATATAGGAGTAAGAATTTACCTCTGATGGGAATAGGAGTAGGAATTTACCTCTGATGGGAATATAGGAGTAGGAATACTAAACGATGCTCCTCCTAGCGCCATCCCAACACAAACAAACACGAAGTTTATAAAATTTCGAAAATTCATGTTTACTTCTGAAAACAGTTTTAATTCTAGAATAATTGATGCTTGGAATTGATGTATTATAAACATAAAGACATCTTAAAACTAAATCGAACATCGACACTTCAAGATGCACCTTAAAGAAACTGTTTTAAAATCTTGCCATTTTTATTTTTTTTAATTATTATCCTTTGCAAAAATCAATGATTAAAAAAATTATCTTCGTAAAATCTAAAAATTTATAAAGTTTTAAATAAGGTAAGCTTGACCCAGAATCGTAAACTATTACTTTAAATTGCATAGTAATGTCTCGAGAAAATCCAATATGAAATGAATTAGTATCTAGTTGTTAACCCATTTAATAAAGTGCATTTTAATGATTTCTAAAAAAAGGCAGAGATTAGAAAGTAGGGTCGGAGAAAACTTAAAATCATAAGAACCGCAAGAAAATTCACATTTTCTTATTTTTTTTCTGTATATTTCTAACTTTTTCCATATTTTGATGTCCAGCTAAGGCCGTTTTGCAGAAAAATGATTTCAATTTTATCCTTTTACAATGTAAAAACTCCGAAAATCATTAAGTTTCATAAATTGTTAAATATCATGTCTGTATAATGCAATGATGAATTCTGCTAGGCTTTGTACTGTGGTGTGCAAAAACCTTTACCATGCTAATCATTTACAGTTGCGCAACTAGGGGAGGGGGGCGACCGGAGTGCCACCCTCCCCTAGCAACTTAGGGGGTGGGGAGGGCATTCCCCTTGCATATTTGAAAGAAAGAAGGCGAATATTAATATCATAGGAAACTAAAATAAGAGAACTATTTCGCCCCCCCCCCCCTTCATCATGATAATGAATGTGAACAACATTTTTCTTTTTGAGCTTCTTTCGCAACATTTCTGATAGAATTTCCTGCTATTTTCTATTTTAGAATTTTAAGAAAGTCATTTGAACTTAATTTATCTCTCTCCCGAAAGGACTATACACATGTTACTTTTTATGGGTATTTCAAAACATGACATTTAAACAGAAAACCAAGAAATTGCATATTGCGATAAAAGAAAATAAGGATTATATCGACCATACAGGAATTTTGTAGGCTATAAGGGAAGTAAAGGGGTTATAGCCCCCCTTACTTGAAAACAAGAGTAGAGTTGGTTTGATTTCAATTTCCCAATAATTTCTGGGATTAACAAACTCTATCAAGTAGAAGGCTTCTTTTACCACCTTTCAGCTTTCACATTTCTTAATAAATACCCTAAAGGTTGTCAACTATAAATTAAGACTTTTTAAACAGTTTCTAAAATAGCAAATCTATCATGAAAAATCCGCAATGATCAGCCACCTGTCCCTGGGAACAAATTAGTTGCAGTGTTTTGAAGAATATACATCGTAAAGAAGATTAAGAACATGAAAGAGCACATGGATGAAAATGCTTTTTGGTAAGTTCTACACCAAAAACTACCATACCAATTATAATTCATAATTTTCCACTGAAAGTTAAGAGCTTTACTGAAAAAAATATTTCATAGATGCACAGAGACTGCCTTTGGAGCTATAGTGATTCTCATTAAATTTGTATTAAATGAAAATCCAATCACCTAGTGTAGATTTAAAACTGATGAGCTTACTAGTAACGGCTTTTTTTCTAAAGCCTCAATTTATAGTGGACACCTTTATGATATATTCACTTATTACATTGACTACATTTATTTCAATCATTGACCTTTAAACTTTTTATTTTTGCCCCCCCCCCCTCGCCGGAAGAGCTATTTTACCTAATTTATATGGACGGGTACATTCTGAATCGGACAAGCCAATCTATTAATAAAGTTGGGTAACTTGAAATAATTCGTATCCTAGAGTCTCTTTACAGGCAGAAAAAAAGAAAAACAAAAAAGAATGCAAAACAATTGTAGATAAATACTCGAGGTCTTATTCAGTGTACGTACGGTGTACTAATGTAAATGTTTACTTTGACACTTGAGCCCGAATCTTCCCAACCGTACGTTTTGCCAACATATGAAGTCTTCACTTACTCACTATGAAACACGACCCCTCTCGGCGAATACAAAAAGAAAGCATAGTAAAATTAGATTATGTGCTGACACCTATACGTTGTGTGGTATCCGGCGTCGACAAACACTGTAGAGGTCGGCGACATGCAATTAAAGTACGTCTTAAATAAGCCAGTTTTAGGAAGATTTGGCTTTTGTAAATCACGTTCTTGGTGTCCATTCGTCCCATGAAACATGACAGCAGAAGACAACCTAAACATCTCCTTTAATTTTTGACATAATTTTATGCATTTATTTGTCAACCTTTATGTTAGTAAAATTATAGAGAAAGTAGGGACAAAATATCTTAAGTCTGGACATTTCCATATTGTGGTTTACCTTTTTTTGTGCTTTCAATATTATGAAGAATTTCTGTCAGATATGGACAATGGACAGTGTTAGCTTTATTTAACAAAATTGAAATCTGAACAAAATTATGTTATATCTCCGGTTCTATTGACAGCACAAACAAGGCAGACCATATTTTGGAAATGACAAAACTAGGAGAATCTTGTGGTTATTGTTTCAAGCATCATACATGTGAAATTAGGTTGACGGCTGAATGTCACAAATAAATTCAAAGTTCTATGACGACTTTCGAAAGTCGTCATGTCACTGTCATGTTTAACATCATAAACAAACAATGTACAGGGTGTACATTGTTTGTTTATGATGTTATGTTTTTTTTAAACCGAACCATCACTACACATTAAAGAATTACTTTTATTTCAGAGAAACTCTCTCATAAATAAAATGTTTTCCATATGATTAGCAATATAGTACTCATAGTACAATATTGGTAAATCCGTGTTATGTAACTTAATCCTTATAAAAGGTTCGTTCACTACTGTATCAGACATATCATAACTACGCGTTATCACAGTTTTCGGTCAACTGACCGACAATATCTAAATCCCTACACTGGAAATATAAACCCCCTGGAAAGATATCTGAATCCCTCCAGTGGAATTGTAAACCCCCAGGAAGGATATCTGAATCCCTCCAGTGGAATTATAAACCCCCAGGAAGGATATTTGAATCCCTACACTGGAAATATAAACCCCCTGGAAAGATATCTGAATCCCTCCAGCGATATTATAAACCCCTAGGGGAGGGAGTCTCCAGTGGAAGTCAAAATCTTGGTACGAACTTCCGTGACTCGTAAAATATCACACTGTGCGACTAGTGAGTAAGGAATAGAATATAACTGACGCGGTTCGCCATGATTATACATGCTTTGCAGACGGGTACTTAACATTTAAATAAGAAATATTTGTCTGATGTACATTTACTGCTTATAAAATGGTCATTGGAGCACCCGTCTGCAAAGCATGTATAATCGTATGGTAGGGCGAACTGCGTCAGTTAAATATCTTTTCTATTCCTTACTCCCTGTGTCGACCCATAAAATTGGAAACAGAAAACGGCATTTGAATAATCTTAAGAAGCCAACAGTTTTACTAACTGAATAAAATATGCCCTGTACCACTGTACAGTAAATAATTGATGTGTTTTTTGATTGATTATTGAGTATAACTTTTTCTACCGTCCGGCATCCATCCATATATTGTTAGTGTTACTAACTGGTGTTTTATTTACATATGTAAGACTTTATTGTAATTTGGTACCAATTGTTCCGGAAACCGGAACGATTTCCCGGAAAATTTCCGGAACGATATTCCGGAAGGTTCCGGAAATTTCCGTTTTACGGAAAAAAAATCGTTCCGGAAATCGTTCCGGAATTCCGGTTTTCCGGAACCTTTGTATAGGCCATCAACTATACCGAGAGCGTACTGCATATTTGTTTATTATAAGTTGATTATGGCCTAACCTATAGTATATCGTTATAAGAGGACACTGTCATCCCCCCTCATCTTAAACTTTTCAGATACTTTAAATACCAACCATCATTTGCTTGTTATTCAAGTATAAACATTTTTCTTGATTTTATAATTTTGATTGAAAAACATTGTCTTGATTATGGTTTTATTATAGTTATGGTCTTATTGTAGAATGGCATGTCCAAGTGACAATGGTACTCTTTGAACATGTGCCTAATCAACATTTGTCCAATTGCATGAGTTGTGGTCCTCTATAAAATGACATTTTTTTCCTGTTAATCCGATGAAGGACTGGTTGTGAAGCTTCAAATTAAAGGTCTTCTGAATTCACGTCGAGAATCCATTTAATTTCCACTTGCAAGAAAAGTGTGTATAAAGGGGGGAGGCAAGGGGGCTTGCCACCCTCTAGTCCTGTGAATGGGGGGGGGGCTCTTAGAACTCAGAGCTTTTACACTTTTCAAATCTGAATCTGAAGAGTGAAGAACATAACAAGTAGTTTGCTGTTCTGAATTAGAGGTTTGAGCCCCCCCCCCCTTCCACACACACCACAAAAAATATATTAATGCAGTGCTGTAACCCAATTTTCCCTTTCAAGTTCATAGAGTTGAGTTGAGTTTACAGAAATTCATTTTCAAAAAACATATAATAAAATGTAGATTATTGAAAACATGTTTTTTTTTGCTAGTTTCTTAAAGGCGAGTAATGGAGTATTTGCAAGGTAATTTGTGTATGGGCAGTGTACCTTTAAAGGATCTTTTATGCCTAATATCCAAGATGCCAAATGTTTTTAATTTACAGTTTAAATTTTGCCTCCCCCAGGGGCTCATAACGAGGGGGGGGGGGGCAACATTTTTTGTTTTTATTTCTGTAGACGCCCTTGTGGCAAGATACTTAAATATGGGAAAGTCAGGGATAAGGAAGACGACATTCGTTTTTTCTACAGTGAAACCCTTTATAACGAAAACATCGAAAGAAATCATCAAATGTCGTATTCTTCACTTTCTGATAATGGAATGCTGCAGATATTTAGTTTTTTAATCAAATGATCATACGGAACTCTTCAAAACTGTTCCCGCATATTCATGGCTACTTATTTATTTTTGCAAATACTGAAATTTACTTAATATAGTAAAAAACTCATTGAAAAATTGTCCAGACGACATTTGATAAATTCTTCCGATGTATTCGTTATTAAGGGTTTCACTGTATGATATTTTTTGTTCAGCAGGTGTTTATCGATGCTTTTCGATATTGTGGGGAAGTGTCAAAATTATCAAAAAGGACAAAACTACCCGGGCAAAATATTTCCGTGCTGGGTTTTAACGCCACACCGCCGGCCCTGTTATTAATATATTCGTGTTGTTCTTGGATAAATTTCTCTCCATGATTTTCACAGTTTTCATTAAATAAATCAACCATTAAAATGTGACTTTTACTGCATCCTGCCGCCTAGTTTGCTCTGTGACTAAAATTTACATCTGTCTAATTTAAAATGTGGTTTTTAACGTATCCTGCCGCTTTATAATTTGCTCTGTGACTAAAATTTACATCTATCTAGTTCAAAATGTTATTTTTACCGTATCCAGTCGCCTAGTTTGCTCTGTAACTAAAATTTACATCTTTCTAATTTAAAATGAAGAAGTATTTTCGAAAACCTTTTCTTCGGGCTAGGGTTTCTAGTGAAGAAACGTTTCGCGAAAAAATGCGAAAAATATAAATATAAATGAAGCGAAAACGAGGCGAAATTTCGTGAAAATTGTTTTCGCGAAGTACGAAAATTTCGCAAAAATGCGAAATGCAAAAATATTTTCGTAAAATGTCAGATGTCTCCCAGTCGTTCTTAAAATATATTTATACTTTGTGTTAATCCACCAATTGGCTCGCGGATAAATCCCTCTTTGAAAATGAGTCTTGCATTCTCTAAATTTAATCTTTTTTGATGAATTTTTGCAACTTTTTCGTTAAAATTTTGCACTTGATTTTAAACATTATTTTTTTCTCGATATTTTCGTATTTTTTTCAATAATTTTCAATAATGCAAAATTTTTGCAGAAAGATTCTTCCATTACGCTGGAAACCCTAGTTCAGGCTCTCAGCAAAATTTGAATATCTCAAATTTATTTCTAGTTGAACAATAAATTTATTCAAAATCTTCAAATACATTCATGGAAATTCTTGTAAAATATCATAGACGAGAATTCCGACTATTTTGACAGATTCTTCCCACCTTTATTCAATTTGTTCTAAAAGATTGTTTTGTTTTCATTAACTTGATTTTATTTTAACAAACTAGAACTTCATTCCAACAAAACCAGCCTTTTTATCAAACAAAAAAATTGGAATCCTTTTTCTTTTACGATTGTATTTTTACTCTAAAAAACTGTAAAATGCGCAGGTCTGTAAAAGGGGTTATCATGTAAATTATCCAATGCGAAAACGTCTTGGCATATTTTAATATTCTGTGTGAATAGATTTTAAGGTTTTCTATTCACTGCATTAAGTGTATGAGAACCCAACATGTGCATGTATGATATATATTGCATATATATACCCACACCTAAAAGGGAGTGTCTGGCTAGACCTGGTAGTTGAGCTGAGAATGCAGTATTGTAGAGAAAAATTTTAGGATTAGTTTGAGGTGCATATTTCTTTAGCAAGAGTGCAAATTCAGTCTTTAAAATCATAATAGATTGCTCATTTTGGATGGATAATTTTGAGAATCTTTTTTTGAATTATTCAATAATGACGACTAAAAATGTAACAAAATGTCTACAGAAAACTAATTAGATGTTTAGGAACATATATTTCTTAATAAAAATTTGTCAAAATATCAATGATAGAATCAATTATTTCTTTTTCATTTTTATATTTAATTTCTAATTCTTTGTCTATTTGTTCGCAGATTTCTTTAAATTCTGTACATGTCGTCTTTTCAATAAAATTTCAAGGAAATCTACGTAAAATGTATATGAAAAATGAGACATTACAGAAACCAAAAACTAAATTAGATTACTTAATTTCGTTTATAAGAGATAATTTTGATTTTCTAAATCTGTTCCTATACATTTAATTTGTCGAACTGTTGATACATTTTTCGTGTCCGTAATCGAAACATTAAAAACACGATTATCATAATCATCCCTCCAACATCATTAAGGATTTCAAAGATTGAATTTGTACTCTTAAATATGTACGTTTCATAGGTCTTTATTGAATTCAAAATATTTCTCAACAATGTTGCATTATCAGCTCAAGTCTATCCAGACACTCCCTGTATATATATACAATTTTTGCATTATGATCAAATTAATATCTTTGTTTTTTACAATTTATTTTTTTATGAATTTTTATAAATTGGGTACAGTTAATACAGTTAATACAAAAAAAAATCTAATTTGATTAAATCCTTATAATCATTTCTCTCCTTCTTTCTTTTTTTTCTTATTCTTCTGTTGAATGTCTCTGATTCTGATAATTTTGAAAAAAAAAAATTTTTGTCGCAACGAATTAAAACTATAGAGCAACTGCTAGGTCACAACGTTGTAACAGTGGAGTGTGATCTTTGTAAATCTTTGTTAGCTAATGTTGCAAACCTTTGGTATTTCAAACTATGAATTCTGCTGGATCAAATAATCAAAGTTTGAACTATCAACTGTTTACACCATCAAGTTGCAAATGTTTAGAGATAAGAAGAAACGACTTGGAGACAATCGTATAGTTCCTTTTCTTTTGATGTGTAATATTTGCAAAATTTATATGAAATTTTAGAAAGATAAGAATGCAAATATAATAATTTCCAGTATTTTAAATACGTTTCTTCGACCACATTCCATCCGGATAAGAGATCATTGGTCAATTAATTACCAGTTCCTCTAAACCCTTCACTGAATAGCATAGAAGCAAAGTGATTAATTGATTTATCATATCTTACTCCCATATCATATTGGCTTATCATATTGGCTTATCTCCAAGCTTTAACACAAAAATATGCATATAATACTAGCAAAACCTAATATTTTCTGCAATTAAATTTTCATATGAACATTATACAATTTCTTTATATGATTTCTTTTAAAATTTTCTGATCAGTGAAGAAAACCCCGATATAAAGCAATACACGATCCAATTTGATGTGTTACTACTGCACCCTGTAGATGACACATACACATTCAGGACTAGAGATCCAGTCTTTCTTTAATGTGACCCTTGTTTGGCCAGTCCGAACCTTACACAGTTTCTTAATGACCAAAAAGAAAAGAGATATCCATGTTTTACTTTAACATTTCTTTTCTTTAAATTTCGGTTTCTCTATAAAGTATTTTTTCAAATTTTTGCAACAGAAACAAAAAGAAACTGATGAAAGCTAAAAAGACAAAATTTTCATTTTTGAGCGGTCATAAACTTTACATGACCCAATTCTGTTTTTTTGCATATTACGTTTATTTGCAATACAATTTATTATAGAAGGTGATATGACTCCGCAAAATGTGCTCAACTTTGTTCTGGTGTGCTTGGGAATGATATTTTCAGGGGCATCATTCTCAATAACAACTCCTATATACCCATCAGAGGTAATACTAGGAACATACTTCTCAATAACAATAATGATAATAATGCAAATAATAATGATGATAATAATATCGAAGAGAATAATAATGTTAATATTAAGGATGCTATAATGATAATATTGCAGAGAATAATAATGGAAATAAAAATAATAATAGTTTAAATATTGCAGAGAATAATAATGAAAATAAAAATAATAATAGTTTAAATATTGCAGAGAATAATAATGGAAATAATAATAATAATAGTTTAAATATTGCAGAGAATAATAATGGAAATAATAAGGATGCTATAATGATAATATTGTAGAGAATAATAATGAAAATAATAATAATAATAATAGTTTAAATATTGCAGAGAATAATAATGGAAATAAAAATAATAATAGTTTAAATATTGCAGAGAATAATAATGAAAATAATAAGGATGCTATAATGATAATATTGTAGAGAATAATAATGGAAATAAAAATAATAATAGTTTAAATATTGCAGAGAATAATAATGAAAATAATAATAATAATATAGTTAAAATATTGCAGAGAATAATAATGGAAATAATAATAATAATNCTTGAACTTCGAGAGCTGCAGTTTATAGTTAAAAACTATATTTTATAACCTAAATCCTAGTTTAGGGTAGGGGTGAAAATTCTAAAACTAGCATATTTGAAAAGCAATAAAAATATAGAATTTTTCACTATTTTTTTAAAGATGTGTCCCACTCCCATACTTGCATAAGAAATTAAAATTCAAAAGGCATTTTTTACATTTTACTACTAAATTCTATCATCTTTTTTTCCACCTAAAAATCTGAACCATTATGGCATTAAATTTCACTACTGGGTTTTGGTTTATTTTGGTTTATTTTCAGGCCCCTGTTTAGGTAGAATTGATGCTTATAAATCAGAAATAATTTGTGAAAAGTAATATTTGTCTGATTGTTGTAGGATCTGCATACTTTACCTCAGTAATTTTTACCCCGCTCACAGGAAAACTGGTAAATATCATATCATACTTGTGTGCATCTTTAGTGGTCGTAAACCAATAGTGCACAGAATATTCAGAAATATTCATAGATGTTCATGAATGTTCAAAAATATTCATGAATGTTTATAAATGTTCATAAATATTCATAAATTTTCATAAATGTTCATAAATGTTAATAAATGTTCAAAAATATTCATAAACGTTAATAAATGTTTATAAATATTCATAAATGTTCATAAATGTTCATAAATGTTCACAAATGTTAATAAATGTTTAAAAATATTCACAAATGTTCATAAATATTCATAAATATTCATAAATGTTTCTAATTCATAAATATTCATAAATATCCATTAATGTTTATCAATGTTCATTAATATTCATAAATGTTCATTAATATTAATAAATGTTCATTAATATTCACAAATGTTTATAAATGTTCAAAAATATTTACAAATGTTCATAATTGTTCATAAATATTCATAAATATTCATAAATGTTTATAAATGTTCGTAAATATTTAAAAATGAATTCTGCATTTGTTGTGGGTAACCCTGTATTCAAAATCCTAAACATTTATCTTCCATGAATTTCTCTTAAAGACATTTCGATCTGAATAAATGCATAAAATTATGCTTTTCTCCAGACAAAAGTAAATAAACACAACAAAATAGATTTATTAACATAAACAATAACATACACAAACTTCAGAATTGGATACCCTGAGTATTCACTGCAGGACACTTTTGATTTATGTTTAATCCGTTCTTTTGGATATTCATACCGAATTCCGACCAATATCTCTCATTAAATTGCGCGATAAATTGCGCGGCTTGCGTACGCCATGGTTTAATTTTAGACACTTTTCTGGATACAAACTAAAGCGGAGATCATGCATTTAAATCGATTATAAAGTGTTCACCTCTCTGGACGATCATAATACACAAATTCGACGACGAAAAATCGAAAACAAAACGATCGATTTTAAAACGATAGTTTTTATAAAACTCGTCATTTCGTTAACGATCGTTAATGACGACCCTTCGTAAAAGTTCGTTAATGACAACCATTCTTTAACGATCGTTAATGAAGAGAGGAAACAAAAACAATCGTTTTTCCAAAAGAAATGAAAGTGGGAACATTTTTAAATGTACGTTGAAGGTACTAGGTACACGTACCGGCCTTTATATTTGCAATATTTAATATTTATCTTTGTAACGACACAGCTACCCATGTTTAGCTGAATTTTGTCAGGTTGTTCTCCTCGAAATCTAATATTGCCAAACTTGAAACAAATTCCTGATCTTTCAAATTTTAACTGAAAACTTTTTTAGCAGGAGAGTTTTTAGCTCTGACACTAAACTACTATTGAAGAATATACAGAGGAGGGTTATAATGCCCAGGAGGTTAATGGAATTAATTGCAAAAAGTCTAGTTTCTGTTCTTTAACCAAAAGACAAAAATACAAAAATAAAATAATAAAAAATAATAATTCGAAACTCAAAGAAGTACAGATCCAATAGAAATTTATTTGACTCTTGTGAAGTTGTAGGCACAATTTTCTCTGCCAACCTTACAGTCATATCCTTGTTTTACTGCAAACAGATAATTTCTACTTTTGGTTTCTTTATAGCGGATTTTCGTGGGCAAAGACAAGGAAGAAAATTGACGGAATTTTTTGATTTACAAAATGTAAAAAACGATGATGTCTTCCTCATTTGAAATAACACTGACAGTGATTTTAAGAACTATTACTTATTTCTAGATTGGGTTGACGAGTGCTAAATCTGTATTTGTTTACGGATCCCTTGTCTGCGGTCTTGGAAACCTGGGTTTTGGGTAAGAAGACTAAAGCAATCATTTTAGATAACTCCAATTTCCAATCAAACTTTCGGAGAATATTTTTTATTTTAGTTTTTCCGCCCCCATGTGATTTCGTTTAAACTTTAAACGGAGTGACCTGCAATGTATGGTAGTTTAGCTGAGAATGTATAGTCATGTGGAGAAATTTTTAAGGATTCCTTTGAGACATGTAAAACGTTTTAATGATGTATAATTACTGAGTTTGAGCGCAACTTCGACAATTATAATCATCCATAACGACGACAAAAAATGTAAAAAAAATCTACAATAAATTTAGTAACCGAATAAAGTGCAATTGGGTAAAGGAATTGAGTTTTTGCTTAAACTCAAATCTTCTGATCCCAATATCTTTGTAACCTTATGATGCAGACCTTTGATATTTCAAACTTAGATTATTTTATCTATACGTATTAATAGTTTGAAATATCTAAGGTCTACGACATTGGGTTGCAAAGATATTGAGATTAGAAAATCAGAGTTTGTGGCAAAAACTCAACTCCTTTTATAGAATATTTTCATCTTTTCATCTTCTTAACCATGAATATAAAGATAGAACACCAAGAATATAAAGATAGCAGACCAGGGATATAAAAATAGCAGTCCAGGGATATAAAGATGATATAATCTGACTCTATGCTTACTTTAGATTTGTTTCCTATATTGAAGATGGGGGAATATATTTCTGGATGTCCTTATTATTTCGTATAATTGCTGCTGTAGGAGAATCTGTGGTTGCACCAACTGCTTACCCTTTAGGTTGTTGCAATATTAAAGGGACTGTACACGTAATTTCAAGTGACCCTACATGCAAAGATTCACAACGGGACACTTGAAAATTTAGCTGAACAATAATGTGAAAGATATTGTCGTAGTTCCTATATATTTTCCTGCAAAAGAAATGCGCAAGCCCCTTTTGTCAAGAAATAACAATTTAAAAAATCGGTTTTTTATTAAATTATAAACATTGATATCTAATTCATACTTAATCATACAAATCGCTTGAAATTACGCTTACACTCCATTTAATACTTTCCTCCTAAACACATCCTTGCAAAATACTAAATTATATTTTTCATTTTAAAGCATTGAAACACATATAATTATTTGTATAATGTTTCTAGTACAAAATCACTAACATTTTATAATTACTGTTACCATTTGAAAGTGGTAATCTAAAGCCTGGAACTGATGCCAGTAAATCTACAGAGTATAGGAAAAATGTATTTACAAGTAAGAAAAGAACAAATAAAATGATACTAATGAATCATGGAAAGCTGGAGCTTTCTGGCAGGCATTTTTTATGTTGAATGATTAAATGATGTGAAAAATGTTGTTCATCTTTACTTTTCTTTCCTTAGCAGGTGGGGCTATTTGTTTTCAATAAAATGTTCAAGCCATTCCAAGTAATTCTTTATTTTTAAATCTTAAGTCAAGTAAATAACTCCTCTAATGAGAGATGGGTAGACAATAAACACTAAAATCTGATCAAGTTAGAGTTTATGTGATAGCTTTGAAGTTGATTAGCCCATGTCAAACAAAGTATTAAAAAGGGGTTTTCAATACAAAAAGTTCCAGTCTCCTGAAACTGGTTCCTATTTTATTTTCTCCAATCTTTGCCTTGGACTGAGGACAGTTTATATGTTTGATTAGAACAAAGAAAACCCTTGATATCTTTTATTATTTAGGAGCACAACAGTTTTCGGAAAAAAATCAAGGGAAAGCTATTGTAAGTATCTTGTAAGTAATGATAAGAAAATCTTTTATTAATAACAAGCATCATTTCCAGTCAGTAGTTGAGTGCTGCTTTGGAATAGGGATGGTATTTGGTCCATCACTAGGTGGAGTAATGTACAACGCTTTCGGATTCTCAGCTCCAATTTGGTTATTAGCAGCACTTTTACTCTTAATATTCGGCACATCAGTTATCTTCTTGGAGAAGAGAATAAAAACTCAACTGAACACTAAAGAGTAGGAAATTATTAATATTTTTAAGGTTAAACGTAGCAAATCAGGCATGAAATTACAACAACACAGTCATGTTAAATGCTTATGTAATATGCAAAAAGTCTCAAATTATCATAAAAGTTGAAAAGTTTCTGAATGCTTGATCCTAAATTTATCATTTCTTAGACTTGAGAATTGTCTTTCATCTTGTATAAAAACAGAATTTGAATTTTCTTAAAACAATTCTATTTTCCATTATATGCTTAAACTGTTTCCAATGTTTAGAGAGACCCTGTGGAGGGACCTGTTCATGTGTCCTGGTAGAGATGGGCAAATTTGACTTCTTTATTTTAATGTTTTTTTTAATTGTTAAAAAAGAATGATTCTTTCGTTCTTAAAATTCATTTTCTTCTATTTCTTTAGTTTTTTTTTCTCAGAAACATCGTTCAGTAAAATGGATTGCTACGAAATTTTTTACAAAAAAAAATTGTTTAAAAAAATTGTTGGTTCAGTAAAAAAAACTATTGTTTTGTAAAAGTTTGTTACACAAAATCATCTGTTAAAAAAAAACAGATAGTTTTCAAGTTTTTTTAAATCGTTTATAGTTCTTTGTTTGTTTTTAAAAAGCAATAATTTTTTCATTTCTCTGAATGCTCCATTTTGTTCGTTCATTGTTCGTTTTTTATGAACGACACCATTTTTTACAAAAAAATTTTGTTCGTTCAAAAACACAATGCCCATCGCTATGTCCAGGACTGATTCCAAATGTCATTGGATTAATTATTGCTGGAACAGCATACAATTGGTATTCAGCGTCACTAGAACCTTACCTTGTACAACAAGTAAGACCATTTTCAAACATTTTATACTCAAAAATATATGAAGGAAGGGGGGGGGGGTTAAGAAATATAACCTCCTACAAGTTCAGATACGAGTAGAAAAAAAATAAACATTTGTCAAAACTTTTTTTCTTGTTTAGTTTGGTTTTAACGCTGGACAAGTTGGATTGATACTGGTTGGATTTTCTTGTGCTTACACCTTCCTTGCTCCACCGTTTGGTGTTCTCTTCGACTGGGGATTATCCCCGCTATATGCAGCACTCATGGGGAATGGTGTTATCATGCTATCCATGTTTTTATTAGGTTAGTCAAGGTCATCTTTATATGTATAGGATTTCTGTGGGCCTCTGTTTGTTTGTATCCAATAAACGTAAAAATAGCTGAAATGATCGGTCTTAAAATTTATAGTGCTCTTATATCCACACCTAAAAAAAAGGTTTATATTCAAAATGAAAATACAAGGAAACCTGCAAATGGTTTTATGACAAACGATAAAAAGTGGTCACAAGAGAAACATAATATAAAGCTAAAATTAAATTAAATTTTACTAGAAAAGGACGCAAAGGCCTAAAAAGCAGGGGCATAAATGATGATCCTGTAGGTGAGGTAAAGTTTTTTTAGTTGGCGCGCAATCCGCGCCAATTTCCACCCCTTCCCCCAGAATTTTTTTACCCCCCTCCCCTAGAAAAATATCATGATGTATATCAAATTATTGGTTTTATTTGGGTTTGGTTTGAATTTTCCACTCATTTCTGGGATTAACAAACTCTATCAAATAAAGGTTTCATTTCTTACTTTTCAGCTTTCACCTTGTTTTATATCCTTCATTATAGTCATTAATTTTACATTAACTACCAAGATCTGTAAAAATACTGGATTTATTTTACTCTGTTATTACTGTTAAAATACATATAAAGTAATTTTACTCTAAGAGGAAAAAGATGTTACTTTTTTAAATCTTTAGAAACGATACTCTGCAAAACTTATTTTTGTCTCTGTTATTCTAATCTTTAAAAAAAGTACAAAAAGCGTTTTCTTGGACAGAAACAACGATTTGTTTTATATTTATTTTACAATAAAATTTTAAAGCTAAGGAAAAAATAAAAATCAGCAGATTTAGAGTCTTAGCTGCAGGCCCAAACAAAACAAAAAATATGCATCACCTCTCCAAATGAAACTACAAAATAAATTTACTAAATAGTAATTCTGTTTTTTTTTAATAAAGATTGAAGTTAGATAAGTTCAATTGTTGACTTGACCTACAAAAATATTATAATCATTATCATGATATATGATGTATTATATAACAAGTTGTGTGTGAATGAGCCGGAGTTTAGGAATAGGCAGTCTGCTAAATGCCGCAAAAAGTTCTACTTTCATGAAAATAGTCGTCTTTACACATGTTTTTTAAAAGGTGTTAAAAACAGACTAATCAATTGAGAATAATTTTTTGGAGGGGGCAACTTTGCGAAGTTGTAACTCTTCAGGATTCTAGGGGGGAGGGGAAACCCCCGATAGCCCCCCTTNGATTGACTTTAAAAAATAATATTTGCCAAGTTGTTTATTTATAACATAATTGTAAATATAGGGCCTATCCCTGGACTAGATGATCTAAACAATATCCCTGTAAAAGCTACAGCTCTGGTTCTGCATGGAGCTGGAACATCTTGTACTTATCTAGCAGCTCTCCTAGGAATGGTTGAGAGTATTAAAGCTGGGGGACTACCTCAAACAGAGCAAACAACAGTATGTATTCCATGGGAATAGTAAACTAAGGCTAGATACTCTGAATGTGCTCCGAAAGGATGCGCTGTTGGTGAAAGGGGGAGCCCTTTTACATCTGACATGCAGAGAAAATCCTTCCCCCTCTCATTATCAGTTCATCTGCCGCCATTAAAGTAATGAATTGTATGAGGATTTTGAGGGCCGCGGCAAAACTACATTACTTGGGAATGCCGCAATGAATAATAAGACAGAGAGAGAGCCAGTTCTAGCCGTGGCGCTCGGCCCCCAAGCCTGTCCTGGCCTTGGCGCTCGGCCCCCTAGCCTGTCCTGGCCTCGGCGCTCGGCCCCCTATCCTGTCTTAGCCGCAGCGCGCGGCTCAGAAAGTTTCTAAACCCAGCCTAACCCTAAAATAAATACTAATCTCTCTCTTTCTCATCATTCATTAAGGCATTCGCAAGTAATGGAGTTTGACCGCTCCCAATTTTGCGGTCAATTGCAATGAAGGAGACTTTTCTAGGATATTGGAGCGCATCTAGAGTATCTAACCTTACTATACGACCTTGATTTATTCTATTTATGCATTTTTATATTTGGCTTGTCTTTATGTTTGTTGTTTTGTTTCTATCATATAAATGGCTGAACGGATCAGATTCAATTTATCTGTGGCAACTCACAGTTGATATAAATTTCATTAGAATTTCAAAAAAATATAATGTACATAAAACGACGATTTTTTGGCCTTTAGGTGTCCCTCCCTAGCAAAATCCCTGAAATATTGAAAGCAGAGACACCTAGCGGCCAAATAATCTAAGGTTTATAAAGTATATCGTATTCAAATAAAAAGAATATTATTAAATATCAACTTTATATGAATAATAATTCGACATGTATAGGCTGTAATATTTAAATGATCAATTTTAAACTAATTTAATTTTTTTACGATCTGAGTGGAAAAATGCGACTCCGTGAATTTGTGTTGGTCATACGCTGTTCGGTATGGGTCGTTTTTAACCCTTTTCTTCTTATAAAGGCAACAGACAAGTAAAATTAGATGCGATTGATATCGAATTTAATTCGATATCAGCCTATACTCTCTTTGATTTTTCCCACCCCTTTAACGAAAGTGGGTGTCAAGTCTTAACTTTTTAAAAAGCTTTTAAAACATGTCAAAATATTAAACCAGTCACTTCTTTCCATAACCGAAATTCATTTATTGAAGACTGGATCATATAATAAAAATTAAAAATTATAAACAATTTTTTGAGGGCTCGGATGTATTTCCCGAATCATTCAGTAAGATATAATTTGTTGATTTCTGTAAAACACTGTTCTGCAATTAAATAAGATTTAATTTCTTAAATTAAAAACTTTAGCAATTAGAAATCTTGAAATTCATTTTCTCTCAACAAAATCATTTGTTCCCCCACCTTCAATAGTTTCTTACAAGTTACATACTTTTGTTTAAACCCTTAACTTTCAAGGGATATATCAAACCCATTATATTCGAGAGGGGGTTGGATTAAAATGTCCCCCTCTCTCCCCCTTTACAATTCTGTGTATTATGATGTAATATGAAAAGTATTATTTTTTTGCAAACTCAAAGGCTGAACTAATTTGCATTCTGAATTTGTTGTGCTGCAAAAAAAATGTAAAAACATAGTCAATGAAAAAGAAAATTTTTCAAGACAAAATATTTTTTTTTTTCGTAAACATAGTTAGTTTTACAACATTTTACATATATTGTTACTAGTTATAAACGAAAAAGGCATTTCATTTTACAATATAATTTGGCTATTCTTTCATAGATAGAAATACAGTTAATAATGTTCGTGATATAATTATTTTATTATAATTTTTATATGATGAAAAAGAAAATGTTCACATTTTAACTTCAAGGGGTTTTTGTTATTTGCTTTCATAATAGCTAAAAATTGTCTTGAAAGACAAATGCCAATATATTCCTTATTATTGAATATTTAATGGTTTTAAGGGTACCGTTGTGAATCGGGCATTGCCATCTTTGCTTGGAGGGACACTTGAAATTTCACTAACTATGAAAACAATTGGTATGGGTTATTTGGGATCTTACACCTATACTTTTGGAGTGCACATCAATTATTTGATGTTTATCATTATAATTTAAAATCTATCAAAAGTGGAGTGTCTAGCTAGACATGGTAGTTAAGCTGAGAATGCAGTTTTGTAGAGATATTTGTTAGGATTCATTTGAGATCAGACGTTGTTTTTAATAGTCTTTTACGTTAAATTTAAATATTGTATTCTAAAAATCTTAAAATATTTGATATTTTATGATTTTACAATATAAGTTTCTAATTTCAACATAATTTCTAAAATTTAAAAAGAAATGAAAATTTTCTTATTTCATTCAATCCTTGGAAACATTCCAAATAATATGAGAAGGAAGGATGTTGCAGCCTGAGCTGAGAAAATGAACAACTTGTCAAAAGTTTGAGAAATGATCATGATAGTATAGATATATGCTTCATATAATATGATGGTGTAGATATAAGCTTATATTATACAGTAATTACCAGAAAACAATGGAATAGGAAGACGACATTACAGTGATAATAAAGTGTATTTGATGTTACAAAAGAAATAGTTTTACTAAACACTAATAAATTACGTGGAATTGGTCTGGTTACACAACAAAAATTGGTTTGCCTAATATGCTCATTGGATTTTGTGAAGTTATAACTTGCTTCTAAAAGTCATCTTCCTATTTCAGAGTTTTCTGATTATCACTGTATTATGTTAGATGTATACTTCTACTTCCGGTTTTTTGGATTCATAACAATGAAATTAGCTTTTTGGAACATTAAAGATAACTAAAAACTGATTTCACGCCTTTTTGTTAAGAAATGTTACACACTTTTTGTTCATACTTTTTTATTTAAATTTTCACATTTTTTGTTTTAATTTCTTGGGGCTTTTCAAAAACATGCATGTAATTTATTATCCATGGAACATTTTTTGTTTGCAACCTGCTTAAACTTTATTTCAGCATAAAATGCCCCGAATTCAATCTGACATACAATGCATACATTACTTGTTATATCTTAGTAATTAGTTTTAAATTTAGAAGACTTATTTTTGGTTTGGTGGAATGGTAACTCCGTAAATTAATATGGAATCTACTCTCTTGGTCACATGAGATTAGACTATACCCCTTTTCATTTTTCGCGAACACTCCCTTTAAACTTTAAATGATGAATTTATTTCAAGGGAATGGTGACTAGTGTATGGTTAATGAGCCTAAGCCTGGGAGCTTTCCTTGGATCTTTGATTGGAGGATATTTATACGATATTATTGGGTTTTCTTGGCTCTGCTCAGTGGAAGGGATAGCAGTTGGATTAACTGTAAGTAGAAATAATATATATTTTTTTCTCATTTTATTAGAATAGAATTTTTTTTTATGCGGATCAATTTAAAACATAGCCAATGAATGAAGGGTTGACGATACAAAGGGTTGTGAAAATTTTGAATTCTGTCACGATTGAGAATACTTCGGTAGATATAGTTTAATTTTTATCTGTTTGTTCTTACGAGACCCATCAATAAAGAGATCGTTCAATAAAAAAATATCAAAAAATCATTCGTTGAGTGAAAAACGATTGTTTTTTTTTCCAAAGTTTTTGGAAAATTCGTTTGTTCAGTAAAGGAATGTTTTTTAAAGTTCGTTCAAACGATTTTAAATTGTTCGTTTTTGTTCGTTAGTTTTTAAAAAAAGATAATTTTTTTATTTCTCTGAACGATCCATTTTGTTGGTCCATCGTTCGTTTTTTTTCTGAACGACACACTTTTTCACGAAAATTTCGTTCGTTCATAAAAACGATGTACATCTCTAACCCTGGCAGACTGGTAATTTCAGTTTCTATTTTCTAGACAATATGCTTGGTGGGAGCTGCACTTCTTGGAAGAAAGACAGATGATAACTATCAATCATTTGAATAGTTAGGTTCCACGCCAGACTAAAGTAAATTGCACTTTAACTTGAAATCATATTTGTTTTCAAACATAACTATCTTGTTGCAGAGCTATTGAGAAGAACAAGCATATTTTAAATTTTCCAATATGACGGATAAGTTTGCTATTCTTGTCAAATCAAAACAAAGGAGCTAGCTACAAGGTTACAAAGTCGTATTATTAATTTCGCGTAATTTTATCTTATCCTTCTATCAAGTTCAGTTGTGTATTTGATGCTGTTAATTTACCTTAGGTCGAAATTAAGAATTTGAGCCGCGGCTTAAATTTGAGACTCGGCTCAAAAATGGTTGGTTCCACTTAAAATTGTATTCATTGTTTCAAGAATGAAGAATTAAGCCAGCGCTCAATTGAAACCGGTTTTAGGCGAATTTGAGATGCGGCTCAAATTCATTAAATTCGGACTCTAGCTGCAGTTAGGAAAAAATCAATTTTATTATGTGAAATGGGATTGTATACAGTACACTGTACAATCCCAATTGTGTTTCATGTTTATTAGAATACTAGAAATTCAAGGCGCTTCACGCCCTTCTTTCTAGGCTTTTAAGGCGCTTCGCGCCCATCTTCTATTTAAATTGTGAAAATGTTTTTTTTGTTTACATTTGTTTTAAAACAAAGAAGAAAAAAATTCGCGGTTTTCAAGAATTTAAATTTTTTTACAAAATTAAAAACCTTTAAAACACATTGTTTTTTATTTTTATCATTCATAAACCTTCCCTGTGGTCACGTGATATCCCACAAAAAATTTGGGCCCGATCGGTTGAGCCGTTTTGACGTTTATTGGATACAAACAAACAAACAGACACCAATACAAACAGACAGCCAAGCCAAATTTATATATAGATTCAAAATCAGTCTAGCAGTCGACTTTTTCTTCAACTGTTTCATGGGTATTAAACTATATAAATCTATTTTTACCGTTATTATTAATTTGTTTAAATTAAGCGCTATGTATTATTTTCATTGTCAGAAATAAATCCTTTTTTACTGTTAATTGTTAAGAATATTGTATAATTTTGGTATAACAATTCTTTAGAGATGTATCAGCTTTGTATATTAACAGTTATTTACAATTTAAAAATTCTAAGCAGCATTCTTTAATAAAAAGAAAGAACGAAGGGTATTCAATATTCATTCTGTCTATTTATGTTTCATCATTCTAAGTCTAATTCTAAGGAACAATTCTTTTGTCATTTTCGTCATTATTGTCGTTATAAGAAGTAAACTTCATCCACTGAACAGGTAGCATTATTGACGCGGACCGCCCTGCCTGAGTGTCCCAAAAGGGATTTATTAATAATACTGCAGCAGCATTTAATAGGTGTGGATTTATGAATAATCAATCAATAGTTTGGGGTCATTATATTGTGATTATTATTGTCTGCAAAAAAACTCCAAATGTTGGTCCATGCAGTGGTTCCGAGGAGGGAGTGTTTGCTAAAACTAAGTCTTAGTAATTATGGAAAACAAATATTTTCTGCGTGCTAAATGAATTTGTAGAGAAATATTTTATATTGAACCAGGAATATAGGAACAAAGACTGAATGGAATTAGTACAGTCGTCTCTAAATTCTCATTCTTAGTGGTTAACCCTGTAACTAGACGTGTATACAGGTATCTGCAACATTATCTTTAAAACAATTTTCCAAGCTGTACCTATGCTTGCTGGATTGAAACTTCGTATAGCTCTTGACATGGACTCTGATAAACATGAGAAATATAAAATTGACATAATTTCTGCCATCTATATTCTCACTGTAGTGCAAGTTTATTACTTTGGAATGGATGCGACTGTAATCTGTATATATGCACAATGTACATCTGTAAAATAGTAATCTCTGTTTATGTGTCTGTTTGTTAGTTCGTTTGTACTTCTAATCATTATCATGATTGAGGAATAACGAGTGTTATTTTTCTTGGTTTAAAAATTCTAGGCTAAGTTTAGTTCACTTTAATATAGAAATGTTAGTTTCCAAGCAAAGCAGGGTTCCCAAGTTAGTATTTATATCAGTGTATATAAAAATGTATGTCAACTTTTGTTTTTCATTTTTTAAATTGACTCTTTGTTAACGACCGTTAGCGATCTTTTATAGAGGAAATACATTTTTTGGTCGGAAAATCCAAGGTCCGAAAACATTTAAGTTATTGGTCTCGGAAAAAAAAATTTAAGACAACATTCATAACATTATCTTTCTAAAAAATATGAAATTAACTAATTGTCATAAAATTCAGATTTTATTTTTTTTTATTTTTTTTTTTATAAATGATCGTTTGTAAAAAAAATTGGTTTTTGCTTTTTGAAAGTTCAAAACAAAAGTTCGTTTTCAAAAACAATATAGTTTCTTTCCAAACACGAATCATTCGTTTTTAGAATCGTTTTTAGAAAAAACCGAAACGAAAACGATCGTTATTTCGATCGTTTTTAAAAACTAGATTAAGATACACAAATAAAGAGAATAAACCCCTGTAAAGAGAATAAACACCTGTAAAGGCCGAAAGCAAAATTATTTAACTACATGGTGTCTAAAAAACGGGGAATAACAGACTCGTTTGTAATTGGATTTTCAAGATTGAGACCATTTTAAAATCTGCATACAATTACCGATTCAATGAGTTCAATTTTAGGCTTGTAAATTTAAAAATGACAATTTAATAGACTCCTTGAGAGTAAATTTGGCAATAATAAAGATAATTTTCATTTGGATTATTTTGTACAAGACTTGTTTGGAATCGGATTTTCAAGATTGAGACCATTATTTTAATTTATAAGTACAATTTCAGATTTAATGAGCCTAATTTTAGGCTTGTAGATCAAAAATTATTATTTAATAGACTCCTAAAATTTCCAACTTAAGCTCTAAAAAACAAAAAGATAATCTGCTTTTGAAGAATTTTGTATTCAATGTTAGTTTACAGTTTATCACAATCTTATTCAAAATGTCCACCATTAGCAGCAAGATTCTTTTGGGCCCCTGATCTAACTTCAAAATTAGCCTGTTGGGAGACAGTTGGGTCCAGGACACAGTTATTTCTCTCCTAATTTTGACCCTAACTTCGTAAAGTGAATGATGCTGTGGGGTGTAGGAGCCTAACAAATTGTTGTTTTTAAATCTACAAACCAAAACTGGGGCTCATTAAATCGGAAATTGTAAGTAGATATCAAATATGGTCTCAAGCTGAAAATCCGATTACAAACAAGTTTGTAGAAGTAGACCCTTTTAAAATATTGTGGAAACGGAGATTGTCTTTATTTTTATCAAATTTACTAACTCCAGTTGGAAACTTTGGGAGCCTTTAAAATTGTTAATTTTAAATCTACAAGCTTAGAATTGGTCTCAATCTTGAAAATCCGATTTCCGGTTTGTTTTAGACACCCTGTATATTTGTATAGAAGGATAAATAAATCTGTCACAACTAGTCAAGTATGCATAATCTAAAAGGGAATGAAGGGTTCGATTGTTAAAAAGTATTTTATTTTCAATATTTTAATATTCTTTAGGGTTAAATCTCAATTTCCCGCGGGGAATTGTGTCACTGTCAGACTTCATAGTAAAAATATATTTTATTATTTCCTCTCAACTATACTTTGGTAAATACATAACTCACGGTTCTCTCACTACAAATAGATTATCAAGTACAATATGTGGCAACAGAGAAATGAACCAATTATACACGACGTCGTGTCAAATATAACAAGAAAAACGAAATTTTCTCACATTAGTTGACATGTTTTTAAAGATTAAATATAAAAGTGTAAAAAAAGAAAATAAGGAATATATTAAATTGTACTTATTTTACTGTCAGCACTTTATTCTAAAACTTTCACTATTATTAATAATTTTGTCGGACACAAAAACTGAATTGACATTTGTGACGTCAGAATACAGCTGTACTGAGAGTTTACAAATTCTACGTTTCCATGTATTGTAACTAGAATCTATTTGCTCTGACTACAGTTTCAGAATGAAGACGACTAAAACAAAAATATGTGATTACATTGCAGAATTGTTGAATTGCTGCAAATTCACGAGGACAAGCCAATCTGGAAATTATATTATGATATTCTACATGTTGAATCTTATAATCGATCATAATATATAAAGCTGTGATGTTAATGTTTATGTCTATTAACTATTATTGATTTTGCTTTGTTCAGAAGAAAGGTCTAAATAATATTATTTTATCGCTATAACCCCTCAGATTTTAATAAAATCCGCAAATAATATTAAAGGGACGGTAAAGGAAAAATGAAAGGGGGTAAAGGATGAAACCTGATACAGACGGAAATCACGTTGGACTATATGTAATTATATTATCAATTATATCTAATAATATAATAATATTATCAATAATCTATATAATAAAACAAGACATTCGTGTATATATATGTTGTGTATAGCCGCCCAATCGGCTGGACCGATTGGGATGAAATTTTTTGTGGACACTCAGGGGTGGTCGGGGGGTTTTATAGGCTAAAAAATTCTAAATAATTTTTTTCTAAATTTTTTCTACGGGCAACGCCGGGGCCTTCAGCTAGTATCTAATAAAAATACAAAATAAAACTTAGAAAATTATGGGAGCATGCCTGAGATTCTCAGGCTCCTGTGAGATATAATCGTTTTCAGATTGGTTGCGTATTTGCTGAAATCTGTTAAAACCTACTACTTTTATACAAAATTGTATATATATTAATTTTCCCTTTAATAAAGATCCACGAGTCTCCCTTTAGTACATTACCGTATAAGTATCTTGCAGTGAAATCAAATTGAATACCTGTTTAATCATTATACTGAATAATGATAAATTTACTTCGTAGGTCTGCATGAATATCAACGCTGCTTGATTTGATCCCGAGATTAACATTACAAAAGTTTTGACTTCTAAACAGTGAGAACCAGAAAACCGTGGAATAGGAAGACGACATTATTGCAATATTTTGTATATTTGATGTTGTTATATAGAAAATAGTTTTTCTGGGAACATATAAAATACATTATCGAGATAATGGAGTCTGTTTAAACTGCTTAACTGCTGTGTCTTATGTTTATTGGTCTAATAAAACTTGAAGGTAAAAGTCGTCTTCATATTCCAGAGTTTTCTGGTTCTCACCGCATAAGTAAAAAACTGAAAAACGGTCGTTTATAATTTGTTGCTTTATTTATGTTTTTAATGAACAATTTCGACCTTTGTAAATCTTTTCAATTTTTCCGAAACCTTTAAAATGCAAAACTTTAAAATTCCTTTTTTTAAACGTAAAAAGTTAAGTTACTATATATTAAAATTAAAAAGAGTGACACGTAGATATATATCTGCTCATTTTTAATGTTTATTTATTCCAAGTTGGGATTTATATTTTCATCCCCGGCCATATAAATCGAATATTCCGTGGAGGCTATTTAAAATATATTTACATAAATCCAAACCAAACCGTTTCAAGAATATTCATTCTTCGCAAATAAATTTAAGACACATCCTAAATCAAAAATATCATAATATCAGGAAATTAGCCATTTTGATAGAAGACCTGAGTCTTTGCCACAAAATTTGATTTTCAAATATCTTTGATATTTTAAACTTAGAGTAATATTTAATCAAACTGAATTTATAGTTTTACGTAATTGTAATTTGTAAATATCTGAGGTCTACTACACTGTGTGGCAAAGATAAAGGGATTAGAAAATCTGAGTTTGTGGCAAAGACTCAATTCTTTTTATACAAGATACAAGAACATTTAGTTCAATTCTAAGCTTGTTTTAGCAGACTTATTGCCAATTAAAAGTTTACAGTTTAAAGAACTTTTATCATCTTCACGGTTTATCCTTTAAACTAGTATCTACAGTATGTAGAGATAACGTTAAGTGGAATGATTTTCGTCTTCTTTCCTTCTATTTATTATAAAATGTCACAATATATATATGATTGTGTACTTTTTAATATTTAGAAATATATCACTTATTACAAATTTTTAAATATTTAGCTCTGCTACACTTCTTGTTTAAGAAAAATAAAAAGACACGAATTCTAGAGTATTTTGACAAGAATAATTAGAGATATAAAATCTTTCAACGTTCCAAGAATATTAGAAAATAAATTTCCATCAGTCTTTAATTTTCGGATGTTTTATACTTTATGTTGCAACGCCGTGGCTATTGATTTTATCTTACTAATTCAATTTTTTTTTTGTAGCCCTATATACGTTTTGTGAGAGAGCTTTGTATCACAGTGATCTAATAACAGTCTATTATAAACCAAAGCGTTAGAATCTAAATATATGACCGTTATATTTTGAAATGTTGAAAACTTTTTACTGAATTGATTACAGACTTTTCAGTTTCCTATTCAGAGATGCAGAGAATGTAGAGAACAGAGAATATTCAATAAAATACTATTCCGATATGCTCTATGTAATCTATAAATATGCATTACATGAATAGATTATATGTTTTCTTTATTCTTTCCTGATCTAGGAACTCTTGTATTTCGGATTTCGAGATCAAGCATTGATCTTAATCTTTTATTAATCTGCAGAGGAATCTTTATTCGATATCCCACATGGTATTCGTTTTCAGTCAGGGGGAGTCAGGGCCGGGGTTGAAGAGAGCTTTAATCAGAGAAGATATAACTAAAATGAAGATGTGGAAAGTTCCCAGCTCTGCCCGCTCAATAATAGAAAATGAAATGACTTCTAAATAATTAAAATTAAAAATATTATTGAATCTGCTTTTCATCAGCTGTTGGTCAGACATCTAAGTAACTTTAGTTAACCTCGAAGTTATAGAGTCGCTTGTCTAATTCACAACGGTACCGGTCCTTTCAACTTTTATCATATAAAGTAAGTAAGATGTTGTTTTAGAATTCAATTCAATTTGTCTCTTGCCGAATAAATCACGTTTACAGAAAATGAACAATTTTTATAATTATCAATGTTTTAAGACAAAAAACAGATATATGTCAGCCAAAGGTTTAAAAGGTACCGAAGTTGTGAATCGGAAATGCAGCTCTTAAAATGGAGGTGTTAATTAAATGTGTGAGCAATCATTTGGATGATTTTAAGAATTATTTGTATAAGGATGTACAATATATAAGGATCTATTTGAATTTTTACTTTATGAATGATTAATTTTCAGTTTTTATTAATGGTGTTTTTTTTTGGCATTGACAAGTTTTAAAATGCAAAATTATTCTATAAAGTTTTAATTTGCAAGAGAATGAATGAATTGTTTAAGGTTTAGGTTAACTTTACCTATAATCAACTTAATAATTAACAGCCACCACTGTTATTCAATCCATTGTGTACTTACAGAATTTTTTATTCAAAAAAATGGTAGATCTGCAAAGTTGAATACAAGGAACACAAAGAAAAAGGCACAACACGGAATTATGAATTATAAGCTATGAACCGTGTTTCCGTTTTATTAGATCATCAATCGATTATTCCATATTTTTCAAAATATATTTTAAAATTGCCAGAAACTCTCAACAGTTTTCACGCTTTTCATGCCTGATTCACAACGATACCCTTTTAACCTTTTGATTGTTCATCAAGCGAAAAGAACTTGTTTTGTATATCTCCATGGAAAACCACTTGAATTCCTGTAAAATCCAGTGTACGCGGCGTACAGTGTGAACTCAACACAGCTGATCTGTTACTTGTGTCCCATGAAGCGGTTTTCAAATATAAGAAATAAAAAAAACATGTTTCTACTTCTTCTGGAAAATTTTAGTTAGTATTTTTTAAATAAAAACAGTTTGCTAACATAGCGTTTAACAATTAACAGGATACGTCTGACAACCTTGATTAGTAAAACATTTGAAGAGTATTGTTGTAAATCGAACACGCCATCTTGTTTTCCTGTCTATAGCCTCTATTTATTCATTTTTCATTTTCATTTCATTTCATTTTTCGCAAACACTTCTTTTAAAGTTAAACTTTCTAGCGACTTCTCTAGTTTCGATTTTTCGCACAAATGTGATTACAAACTAGTCACGTCAAACTAAAATAAAAAAATAACAAACTATTTATGTCAAACTAAAATAAAATGAAATAAAATAACAAACTAAAAAAATAACAAACTAATCATGTCAAACTAAAATAAAATGAAATAAAATAACAAACTAGTCACGTCAAACTAAAATACAATAAAATAACAAACTAGGCACGTCAAACTAAAATATAATAAAATAACAATCTAGTCATGTCTAACTAAAATATAATAAAATAACAAACTAGTCGTGTCAAGCTAAAATATAATAAAATAACAAGCTAGTCACGTCAAACTAAAATATAATAAAATAACAAACTAGTCACGTCTAACTAAAATATAATAAAATAACAAGCTAGTCATGTCAAACTAAAATATAATAAAATAACAAACTAGTCACGTCAAACTAAAATATAATAAAATAACAAACTAGTCATGTCAAACTAGAATAAAATAAGATAACAAGCTAGTCACGTCAAACTAAAATATAATAAAATAACAAACTAGTCACGTCAAACTAAAATGAATGCTCGTAAGATTGAGTTCTGATATGCTTGTATTGTAACACCTCTGCTCGAAAAGATATTGCATTTTGAGAAGAACAAAAAAATGATTAAAATTTACTAGGTTCGTACTTTACTGTAAAGTTTAGAGAAGCTACGAGTTGACAAATTCGGAGCAGTAATGTCGAATAAATTCTATCGTTTCCTACTTTCTAGTTTGCAGTGTAGTAATTCTAAAATAATTTGTTCTCAATAGCTCTTCAGTAAGAGGAGTTAAAATACATTTAGAATTTAAAGGGAGTGACCAGCTATGTAAGGTTGTTGAACTGAGTATAAAGTATTGTGGAAAACTTCTTTCGGATTCATTTGAAACATAAAATTTTTAAAGATTTGTAAATCCTGAGTTTGAGCGCAAATTCGACCTTCAAAACTCCTACTTTGGGGGTGGATACGTTTTTAGACTTAGTTTTTTTTAATTATTAAATAACGACAACGAAAAATAAAGTAAAAATTATACAGTAATCTAATTAGAGGGTTAGGAACATATTTCCCAAAAGAAATTTGTCAATAAATCAATGCTAAAATCGATTATTTCGTTTTCATCATTATATTGAATTTCTTATTCTCTTTGAAGTTATTCGCAGATTTCTTTAAATTCTTCAAATGTCGTCTTTTCAATAATAATTCTAGAAAATCTGCAAAAATCTTTGTGAATAATGAGAAAACAGAAACTAATAATTGAACAAGATTACTTATTTTCGTTGGTAAGATTAATTTTTATTTTCTCAACATGTATACATGACGTCTGTAGTTTATTGTAGAACTTTTTTACATTTTATGTCGTCGTTACTTAATAATTTAAAAAACTAATTCTGAAAACGTATCCAACTCCAACGTAGGAGTTTTAACGTCGAATTTGCGTTCAAACTCAGGATTTACAAATCTTGAAAAAGCTTAATATGTCTCAAATGAATCCGAAAGAAGTTTTTCACAATACTGCATACTCAGTTCAACTACCTTACATAGCCGGTCACTCCCATTAAATCTAACTTGAAACTTTCTTTAATTTGACGCTTCTTACATTTTTAAATTGAGATCAGTATTGTTTAGAGTCTCTGAACAAACAGGAAAAAAAATATAATTTTTGATCAAAGGTTAGAATTTTAGTTAGCTGTTACTGCTGACTGTTAAAAGTCATTAGTTATACTTTAAAAATGTTTTATCTAAAATTTTGAATTTTTTTTTGACTATTATGAAACGGTTATTGCAGTAAAGGTCTGTATCAGGGGCGTATTCAGGAATTTGTCCAGGGGAGCTTAAATTTTTTTTTCTTTTCAGGGGGGGGCTCAGCACCCGTTGGGGCATGAAAACCCCTTGAAATCTATAGATTTTACTGGTCCAGGGGGGGACTTAGCCTCTATAACCCCCCACCCCTGAATACGTCTCTGACGACATTAATGTATTTAAATATTTATTCCTATTTATTTCTTTTTATTTCTATTTATTTATCTATTCTGTATGGTTTACGGTATTCTATCTATATTTTCTAGTAGCTTTCTACATAAACTGCAACCCCGTGATCAGAGATAAGATTTAGGATATTTCCATTATCAATACTTTGGTCATTAGTTTTAAAGGATACCTTTGCAAATCCTTTATAACGATCTTGATAATAAAGTTTCTAATTAGAATAAGTTATACTAAAGTACGAAAGAATTACTTTTTTTCCGACATTATCCGGTCAATTCTAGTTTGTGCACCATATATGCTTATACCTGCCTAAACTTCATTATCAGCCTGAGACCTGGTGCCTAGCTGCCTGAATAATACCTTAGTTCATTATTACGTCANCGGTTCCTGGTCTATATATTTCTTGGTTTTGACAATTTATTCTAAAATAGTTTTGACACAAATCTTAAGATTAACAGATATTTGAGATTATCTTGCCACATATTGCATTGGTAGCAAAATCAAAAACCGAAACTAACAGAAAAATTACAATTTCTTCTTTTTTAAAGAAAATGAGTTATTCTGATAATTCACTTTAGATCGTTTTTAAACAAATCCCAACCCTACTCTCTAGCACTAGAATTATATCATTTTCTTCTCAATATATTTCGCCAAAAACTATGGCATCATCAGGAGTTAGTCCTTACTCTTTTGAAGAGTATTGAATGACTGATAATTCACTATAAATAAAAAAAATATGAGCAAAGTTCTTTAATCTTAATCTCAACCTTATTCACTGAACAATAAAATAGAACATTTTAAGAAAAATATTTTAAAAACTTAATATTTTGAAATTGAAAATATTGATATACTGGGATTTTTATTTATCTATATATTTTTACATCTTATGTGTTTCAAAGTAAAAAAGAATAATCGATAATCAATTACTTCAGTTCTGTCATTTCTTTTCTTTATTTTCTTCTGCTCTGCAGTTTTTATCCTCTCATTTATATTCCATTTATGTTCCAGACTTATTATCTATGCAGCCATTCATTTCTTTTATGCCATTGGATAATTTCAGGGAGCCTTTCCAGCTTATTTTCTTAAAGGAGGGGGGGGGAAGGGGTTAGAACTAGATTAAAGGAGAGGGGTGATTAGAACTAGATAAAAGAATTTTTTTTTTTTACAAATTTTATAGAAGGGATGATAAATTATTTAATGTGATAATACATTATATAAACTTCAAAATAATAAATAGTTCTCCCTGCTTCTTGTTTCTAATGTTTGAAGTTTTTGTGAAGAAGATATTATACAGGGGGATTTTTAAAAGACGATTTTTTTCAGTTGTGCCTTATTGGATGAAAAATCCGCAATATGGAATAAGAATTCAGAATATCTCCTAATTGCATACTTACTGTCTGACAATTTAAAATTCCCAAAGCAACAATTTTTACACTCAGCGAAAAAGATGGACGACTCTAGCTTTTAAAATATTAAATTCATCCTCCATCTGAACTTCTAAAGGAACAAAGTCGAATTGTCCAAATATCGGGTTCAAAGTTTGGAAGTAGTTTGAGAGCCTCCCTATAGCAGAGAAAGATTAACAATGCGGAAATGATTAATTTCTTAATCAAATGTCATATAATAATATACATTATGTTTGGGAAAAGTTTAAAAATGACCCTGTACAATGTATAATATACATTATGTTTGGGAAAAGTTTAAAAATGACCCTGTACAATGTATAATATACATTATGTCTGGGAAAAGTTTAAAAATGACCCTGTACAATGTATAATATTCAGTATGTTTGGGAAAAGTTTAAAAATGACCCTGTACAATGTATAATATACATTATGTTTGGGAAAAGTTTAAAAATGACCCTGTACAATGTATAATATACATTATGTTTGGGAAAAGTTTAAAAATGACCCTGTACAATGTATAATATACATTATGTTTGGGAAAAGTTTAAAAATGACCCTGTACAATGTATAATATGCATTATGTTTGGGAAAAGTTTTAAACTTATTTTCAAGATAGACTGAAACTTTATACTATACGTCCTCTTAAATTTTAGGGTATAAGAAAGTTTTCAGCTCTGTAAATTTTTCTTAGTTTAGATGAGTTCTAAAAGAAGATAACCAGGCTATTTGTCAAAAATAGTTTTAACATAGACATATTTATGTTCTCTTACAGTTGATAAAGCAAAACACAAGCACATTAACTGTAGGGTTAAGTGTAAATAATTAACTGGAGTCTTCACTGGCATCTTTCCTCAAGTCATTCCTGGAATCTTTCCTGGAATCTTTAATAGAATCTTTCCTCTAATCTTCAATGGAATATTTCCTGAAATCTTTCATGGAATCTTTTCTGAAAAGTTTCATTAAACATTTCATGGAATCTTTTATGGAATTTTTCCAGGAATCTTTCCTGGATTCTTTTCTGGAATCTCTCCCTGGATTCTTTTCTGGAATCTCTCCCAGAAAATTTACTAAATCTTTCCTATATTAGTCCTTGAAACTTTTTCCCTGAAATCTTTCCAATTGAATCTTTTCTTGAACCTTTCTTGGAATCTTTCCTGGAATCTTGCCTGAAATCTTGCCTGAAATCTTTCCTGGAATCTTTCCTGGAATCTTTCCTGGAATCTTACATGGAATCTTTTCTTGAATCTTTCCTGGAATCTTACATGGAACCTTTAATTTAATATTTCATGAAATCTTTTTGGAATCTTTCCTACAATTTTACTTGGAATCTTTCCAGGAATTTTTTCCTGGATTCATTTCAGAACTATTTCCTGTGATCTTTCCTGGAATATTTTCTGGATAGTCAACGGATAACATATTGGAATTTTTTTTCTTGATGAAATCAAAGTGTCAGAAATCAAGTGCAAGTATTTTAGAAATGCAATGTTAGGAAAATCTTATTATTTCGGAAAAAAATTATAGATATGGACCATGACTATGTCTGCATAAAAGTGCTAAAACGATAGAGTATAAAAGGGGCAAAAAACTTGACTAAAAAGTCAACTTAGAAGTTGACTTAAAAGTCGACTGAAAAGTCTACTTAAAATTTGACTTAAACTCGACTTAAAAAAGTCAACTTACGCTAACTTTTAAAGTCAACTTTAACTCAAATTTTTGCAGTTTCGAAAAACCATAAAAATGTGGTAGAAAATCTCTGCTTAAAGTCGAGTTATGGAACGACTATGTGCGACTCAAACTCAACTTAAAAAGTCAGCTTAAACTCGATCTAAAAAGTCGACTTGAACTTTACAATTCAATATCAACTTAAACTCGACTTTAAAAGTCGACTTTAACTCGTCTTTAAAAGTTAAGTTTTTGCAGAGTTGAAAAATCTCGTTCATAAGTTGTATAAAAAAGGAGTCTAAAAGTGGTGGTAAATCTCAGCTTAAAGTCGAGTTTAACAAGTACTATTTACAAGTTAAAGTCGACTTCTGGAAGAAAAAAGTCGAGTTTCCGCTGAGTTTTGTTCGTTGGGTCATAGAACATTTCCTGGCAGCTTCTTTCCTAGAACCCTTTCTGTAACCTCTCCTGAAACCTTTCATGGAACCTTTCCTGGAACCTTTCCTGGAATCTTTCCTGGTACCTTTCCTGAAACCCATCTTGGAATCTTTCCTGGAACCTTTCCTGGAATCATTCCTGAATCCTCCTCCTTGTTTTCTCTGCTGGAAACCTGTTGCTGGAGAAAACACCGAGGTTGGACCTCCAGTTTCTTCTCTCCGTCCTGTTTCCAGTTCTCATCCCAGTTCTCATCCATCCTTATACTAGTTTTCATCTATACTCATCCCAGTTCTCATCTATACTCATCCCAGTTGTCATCTATACTCATCCCAGTTCTCATCCATCCTTATACTAGTTCTCATCTATCCTCATCCCAGTTCTCATCTTTACTCATCCCAGTTCTCATCCATCCTTATACTAGTTCTCATCTACACTCATCCCAGTTCTCAACTATACTCATCCCAGTTCTCATCTATACTCATCCCAGTTCTCATCCATCCTTATACTAGTTCTCATCTATCCTCATCCCAGTTCTCATCTTTACTCATCTCATTTCTCATCCATCCTTATACTAGTTCTCAACTATACTCATCACAGTTCTCATGTATACTCATCCCAGTTCTCATCTATACTCATCCTAGTTCTATATTGAATGAATGTCCTAACTTCTTTAATCTGATGCTCTGTCTTAGTTATTCAAAATTCTCAAATAAAACTTCTATTTTACCAATTTGTTTTCTCTTCTGTAGATTTGGCAGAAACTTGGAGCTAAGTCATCAATATATCAGTCA